AAAAATCAGCATAAAAATCAATAAAAATCAATAAAAGAAGCAAAGTATTTAAAGAGCAAAGAGAGGAAGAGTCCACACTCACAAAAGGGGTTGATAATTTAAATGTCACACAGGCTGCTCTGTAACCATCTGGCAACAACCAATCGTGAGGGAAAAATGAGTATTCTTCGACTAGTTTTTGAGTGGTTTCTGCAGGTTGCTGGCAGTTGTTGTGAAATAGACTCCTAAACCCCCAGTCACACAAGCCTAGACCCATTCAGTGAAAACCTGGCAACCGCTGGTCACAAGGAAAAAATGTGTATCACCCTGTGGGTTGGCAAAAACCTCCTTGAGGTTGCTTTGGTCAGTGGCAGGTTGTTGCAGTCAGCGTTCTCCAAATCTGGTTCTGGCTTTGTCAAGGCTTGCTGCCACCATGGCCATCAGGAGGCAGAGCAGGTCTTCTACAAATCGGTAGGCTTGTTGTTTAGTGTTCTTGTTCCAGTCCTTGGGCAATGGGCATGGTACTGAACCCTGATGTGCTCCCAGTGCATTTATCAGAGTGTGAGTGTGAATGTTAGATGCAGATGTAGAAAAAAGTGCTTGTAGAGTAGAAAACTATAACTATAACTATAAAAGAGCCAATCTATTTACCATTCACTCAGCTGGCAGTCACAGACTGTTTGGAAATAAGTTGACGTGTTGCATGCAAACGACTGGGAACCACAGTAATCTCAAATCAGAAGCAGGTTTATGGTGCAGCATCCTCTTTGTAACTGATTTCATCCAGCGAGAACCAGCAACCTGCAGGAACCACTGATCAGCATGCTATAGCTGTGTACTGTTCCCTTCATGTTTGTGCTGATATTGGCTCTGGTTGTAAGACAATAAGAACTTCTTTGTAGTGAAGTGAAACCAAGTGAAAGAATAAATACTAACCACTGCAAATACTATCTGTGCTTCCCACGCATGTTTTTTTTAAATATATACTTTCAACCAGTCAGCAGTGAACATATCTGCAGGGCCACCAATGTCAGTTTATGTGCTGTTGGCTTTTTTAGAGAACTGTGTACAAATATATCTTCACAGACTCAAATCCCACAATCCCTCCGACTCCACACAGACACCAACCATAAATTTGTATTAGCGGTGTCTCTCAGTGTATCTAATTAGAGCCTCGTTAGCTGTTTCCACGTTTCCACTCTGAGTAAATAAAATTGAAGTTTATCAGCCAGGATATAAAACTATGTAGGTTTGAAATAGTGTTTTAACTGCATTTAATCTGCATTTAAAGTAAATGTAATCACATTGCAACAGATACCGACGTGTTTTTTTATACACACACTTTTGGGACACTCAACCAGAAACACGCCTGTGCTGGATCTGTGACGATTAATAAAACTTAAAAAGTCTTAACACTGACTAGGAGGATGATTTTGTTGAGGCGTATGTCATTATGTTTTCTTTATTAAAAACTCTTCTGAAAATGACAAACCCTGAAGTCATCAGAAAAGTGTGAAACGTTTTGAAAAATAATAATAACATTAATAGTTTAATTCATTTATAAATTAATTACCGAATTAAATAATTAATATTGAAATGTAAGTTGTTTTTTAGTATAAAAGTTCTATATGAATAAATGAGGTCCTTATATGTCTGAGATGCATCTTATTGATCTGATATTGCTTTAAAATTAAAGTCATAATGAGGAAATTAAAATAGGAACGCTTAACCAACATTTAAAAAACATAAACACACTATCCTGCATCAACAAAAATGTCAGTCCTGTCATACATGGCATTATTGTTAAATAATTGACAATTTAAAAAAATATTAATGAATTATCTTTTTCACCATTTAAATGAACCTGAGATTATATATCAGCCACTGTGTTTTATGAAAACATCCCTTTTATAATTACTAGCAGCGCTTTCTCAAATTTTTCATCCTTTATTTATGGTTGTCTTGGTGAACATTACGTTTCGAATGGGCAACGTATGTTGAACATGACTCATGAGACATGATCTATATGAAAATCAAAAGAATTTGGATTTATTTAAAATATTTTTAAAAACATATAGATGTTAATAATTGCTACATGCATGACGGTGTTCGTGAACAGCTTCATTCCGATTGGCCCACCCAACACATATGCATACATACACTACAATGATTACAGTAGGAAGGTAAGTGCCTGTCGGGTATTCTGTGCTGACGCTCCACTACAGCAGCCTCAAATCATCATACTCATGCAGGGTTTGAGTATGTGTGTGTGTGTCTGTGTTTGTTTAGTACCAAGTACAAAAGCATTGATGATGACACCAGATATTGTTGTGCCAACTACAAAGCGAAGAATCACATAGACCGGGAAGTTGGGTGCGAAAGCCACAGCGACACCGAACACAGTTTGGAGAGCGAGGGACAGCAGCAGGACGAAGCGTCGGCCATACCTTGTAGACAGAGAGAGAGGACACAGGAATGTGAGTTAGCCCTCCCTCATTATTAAAGATTTGCACCAGTAGACCCAACGAAACAGAAGTAAAGATATCACACTAAGCTCGAAACACATAAAAGAAAAAAATACTAAGTCTTTATCTAGTTCTTAGTGTAGGAGGTGCAGTTATCAGAAACCAAGTGCTTATAACTTTATGTTCACCAGAGAAAATCTGAGGTTTGAAAATTAGTAACAAAGCTGGGAACTTCAGTTTGCTCCCTGGGCTGTTTTTCTTTTCAGGTGCAAACGCTTCCTTTTGTTCACTTTAGCCCTAACTTACCAGGAAGACCACATATTGCCACCTGCTCACTACCACCCACTGCAGCCTTCACTCTTCAGTTTCTTAACCCTTTCAGCTCCGTCAATAAAAGGGAAGCACAGGTCTCATGACCCACTCCCACTTCCCATTTGTCTTTCTGCAATAGATCTACTGTGTCAGTTCAAAGACTTTTCCAAGATATTGATGATACTACCCTTCTATTGTTTCTAGTTTAAAGAAAAAACAGAGAATGAACAAGAATGTTAAAAGTATGGGTGATTTTTAGTGTCACACAGTTAAGTCTGAACAGTTTTATCGTGTGTATCTGTAGCTGATGAAGCAAATAAATTAACTGCTCCCCTTACATACAGTTACCACATGCAAAGGCCTACAGCAGTGGCCACCCCTACAGTCGTGCTTTGATGCTGAGGATCTGACACTTTGTTCTATCTGTGCGCCGAGTGAGAAAAGCCTACCTGTCAGCCATGGCTCCAAACACCACCGATCCCACCAGCAGGCCAAACATGTAGATAGATGATCCAATGTTGTTGAACACAGCTTTGCTGCACACCAGGTCCCACTGGTAGATGGAAAAAGAAGTTACTCCTTGTGCATTTGTTTATTTCTTATGTACTGGTGAATGGCCATGCAAATGGTAAATGGCCTGTATTTGTATAGCGCTTTTCTAGTCCCTGAGGACCCCAAAGCGCTTTACACAACCTGTCATCCACCCATTCACACACACATTCACACACTGGTGCAAGTGACATACACTCTGTGGGCAAAGTATCTGGCTACATCACGTAATCTTAAGCACCTCACTTTTGTAAAAGAACTCAATACATTTAAGTGTAGTACTGTAGTAGGATGATATCAGTGAAACAAGTCAGTTCCTGAAATTTCTTTCTCCTTTGATACTACACAATAACGTGAAAGTGGTATCATTGCAACGTGGAAGCTTTTAGGAACCAAACCACAGCAACTCATCCACAAAGTGGCAGACCATATAATCTTACAGAGCAGGCCTTTCAAGTGCTGAGGCGCATATTGTGGAAAAGTTGCCAACGCTCTCCTGACTCAGTAACTACAGGGCTCCAGACTGCTGCTGACATTAACATCAGCACAAAAGCTGTGCAATGGGAGCTTTGCACATGTTTATGCAGATCCTGTAGCTGTATCTGGCCCAGTACCTATGTCTATGTAGAGTATTGTCAAAGTAAATTTGCTTGTGTGTTTGGGCTGCTCTTTGCTGATATTGATTATAGAGTATGGTATCAAACTGGCATTGGACAAAACAAAGCACTGTCATAAAGTTCCAAGTGCAAATGGACCTTAGGAAAGGGTTAGAGCTGCATCAGGGTCAGATTGACTGCAACCTCTAAGGAAATATGATTAAATCAGTCTATACTTGCCAAAAATGGTAGCTGACCAGCTGTAAATGACCAGACACTGATGATTTTCAAATTACACTGTCATTTGTTTCTGTTCTGGCTCATTAAACGTATAACATAAAATAGTCCTTGCACACAAACTGAACCTTCCAAAGTCCAAGAAGAACATCCGCAAAAGTGGCGAAACTCTCCAGGATATGGTCGCAGTACAAAATGATGGCAATCATTTCTGAATCCCTTTATAGTTGAGACAGTGACTGTTAGTCAAGGAAAATATGTGGCACTACAGCACAATATCAAGGACACAAGAACCTTTATGCCAAGAAGACTCTTATGTAATATAATACAAACTGTTGTTGATTAATTTGTGTATGATTACAAAAGCAGCCGTGAACAGCAGGGGTGCAGCAGGGTGTGAGTGGGGCCAGTTGCTTATTTTGGCTCCAAGGCCCTTTGGAAAGTTAATGTGGATGTTTGCTGTGCTGGGTTCATTACTCTTTATCATCACATCAGTCTTTCATGAAATAATTTCTCAGATTTTTACATATTTGAATTTTATTTTATTTTATTCATGTTTTTCCTTATTTAGCTCCTTTCTTTTCCATAGATTTTGAGATATTTGCCTTGCCATATTGTTTTATTACATGCATTTAGCACAAAAAATAAGAACATTTATGTTTGGTTGATTATTTCTTTGGACAGCCAGTTTATTTGGGTGCCACATTGGGTGCCACATGGTGCCACGTTTGTAAGAAAAATGCATTTGTGGGTTGAGCAGCAGAGCTGAGTATGTGAATCGCACCGATGAAAAACCTGCAAATCTTCTCTTAAATCGTGACTCTTGTTTGGTGTTGTTTATTGGGTTATATGATTGAAGTCTGAAGAAACAAGAGATATTGGCAGATTAACAACTGATTCATTTATCAAACAGGGGCCTCTGCAGCATGTAGAAAAGCCGTACACAGCCACAACAGCCCAGCACCTCCTCCTCACTAGTTTGGCCACACACTGCTTTGGCATGGCATCCCAGTCTTAATCACTATTTGTTGCATGTCAGACAATGTTGTTGTGCTGGTCACAGAAAATGTAGCAACAGCGATTAAGATTTGTCAAGTTTTTCACGGCACAACCCACGTACTCAACTCTGCTGCTCAACCCACAAATGCATTTTCCTGACAATTGTCAGGACATTAAAGGGAAAACAAATAAGCTATGATTTATTGCCAAGAAGCATTGTCTTATGACCACATGTCATAAGAACAACACAAATATTTTACATATTTGTCAAAAACAGGCTAAATAAAGAAAACTATATTGTTATATAGGTACATAAAACACTAAATTCAGGTTTTGCCAAAAAGTGATTTCCAATGTTTCTATGCGTTTTCTATGTGTAATATCTTTATTTATATTGGTAAATAGAGTTTAGTGAACAGAATTTACAAAGGGTTACATAAAAAATGCAAGCTCTTCATATCTTTATGACTGCGACATTATAACCAGTGTAGTCCTTTATGGCCAATTAAAATATCTTCCTAGGAAATTAAAAAAAAAATGAATTAAAATTTCCTTCTAGATATTTGTTGCAAATTCTGCTACCCACTTGGTCACATAAGTCATAAGTCAATGAGACTTTTTAACTGGATAAATAAAAGATCGATAAAAGTCACTTTGCCAAAAACTTATTGCGGCTTCTACCCTGTGACAGAAATGTTCTTTCTGGCACTTAACGAATTAATATCATTAACGCGGGACAGATTGTACATGTGTTTCACATATTATAGGCCAACATTGCAAGTAAATAACCGTAATTTGACATCTTAATATAATTTTTTAAGTGCTTCCCTTTTTTTCTGCTTATAAAACAGTAAATTTGGGAATCAACGGCTAACAACAACGATTATATTTTAGCATTAAAAAATATAATTTAAATAAAAGAATTTAAGCACGCTTGGATTAGGCTTTGCAGAAACAAAAGAAGATGATTTTGGTAAATATCAATATGGTTAATTTTGACATAAACGCTACACTAGGTGTTGGTCTAATAAATGTTTTAAACACTGGTAGTTTTGGCTGCTGTAACACAAAAAAGTCCCAACTTTGGGATAAAGTATACCACATCATAGCTTAAAAACCACACTGGCAGCAAATGATCTTTGGATATGTCTTTTTATGTATTAGTGAGATTAAAATCCTTACTCTGATACTTATAATAAGTATTTAATAGGTAATATAAGCAATAAAAAGTATCAAATGATAGCCTACCGTCTCCTATTTGACACCTTTTTGTCGCTTTTTTTGATTTCCGCCTCTTTTCCCAGCATGAAAGTGAACTGATTAATGACTAAAGTTGATCTTCAGCCCAAACCGAACAGACCAGATGGTCATGTTTCTGTACCTCGGTGACGGTGGTGCTCTCAAAAGTCTCCCTGCTGTAGACCCATCCGTCACTGCACGGCACGCGCTGAGTGCCGTTGCCCAGCAGCACGACATCCTGCGAGAAGCAGGAGGAGTTGGAGAGGCTGAAGTTCAGGGTGGCTGAATACAGGGATTGATTCCCCGCTGCTGGACTCGAGCCCTCGCGGCACTGATGGGGCGGCGTGGCTCCGGTGAAGATGCTCACCAGCATGTGGAAGGCGAGGAGGATCTGAGGTAGACATATCCATATGTAGAGAATTTTCTGGTATCTGCCAAAGCCTCCAATGGCAGAGAGGATCTGATCGAAATTCATTTCAAATGTAGGTCAAATTGGCTCCAATGGAGTGGATGAGCCGGGGAGATGGAGGCGGAAGATGGTTGTAAATACCGACCAGATACTGAGGCGGTGTTATGGAGACAAACAAGATAAATTACCATGTGCTGCCGTGGTCAGTCCACGTGAAGTTGTTTAACAATTACTGAAACGAACTCAAGAAGGTTATCCTCCCTCTGCAAACACACTCTCACCTCACGGGCAGCGAGTGTCTGCAGATGAGGCTTCACAGAGATCGATTAGAATGCTCCAAGATGAGACGCGCGGACAAAGTTTTTCAGTCTCAAACCAAGTAACAAGTAAACAAGTAAAATTTAAAAAATCCACAATTAGTTTTCCGTTGTAAATATTGCACAGGGAGTAAAATCACGCACCCAACAAAACGCCAGTGTTGTTTTCCACTCGGTACAAAATATGCACATTATGGCAGCGGGGAGCGCGTGTGGTGTTACGTATCCGTGACTTATAGGGGAAGGGCCATAGCATCGCTACCACATCTCATATGTAAACAAAAAACAAAAAACTCAGTGTAAGAATCACGGGCCACCACTGAGGCGCAGTGATTTCACAGATTACCGGATTTAAAGCACTTCGATGTGGAAATCGTGTAAACCTCACTTGCTGCAGTTCACTGCGTGGATGCAGGTGTAGCACTCAGCTGTTACACAGCCTTCAAACACAACATCTCTACTCTCAATTCGCAAAAAGCAGGTTGTGCGTTATGTAAGAGGCTCTCTGCTGCCACCTGCCGTTTGATGCGATGGTAGGCACAAAACTTCTGTGAGCGGAGGGGATGCGGGGGTTATCATAGCATTCACCTGAAAGTGCTAGATATGAAAGGTACAGACCATAAAGTGCTAGACAAGCGACGGTGGGGAGAAAGAACTCTGTTTTAAAGGGAAGAAACTTCAGAATCAGGGAGGGGCAGAAAAAAGACGGGCACAAAGGGATCAGAACAAATAAAAAAACAAAACAAACAAAAACAGTAAGATGAGAGAAAAGTTAGTGATTAGTGGCATATGAACATCAGGATAGGAAAGAGGGAGGTGGAGGAGATCAGAGTATATCATAAGATTTCATTTTCAGGGGCTCGAGTTGGGAAAAATAGAAAATAAAAGCATAAGAAATCAGAAAAGGAATCATAAAGAAACACCAAGATAAACCATTTAACAAATGACTTATAGTAATGCAACTGTGGACACACTTCTTACTTTGCAGCCGATAATGCAAGGCTATCTTGTTTTGCGTTTATAATCACCACAGGTTACAGCGCATACCTATATAATATTTCAAAGGGGGATCTGTCCTCCTGTCATTTCTGCATATTGCTGCACTGATATGATCACAGAATTTATGCTTGGTGGAGACAAAAAAAATGGAGGTGCAGGGGTGGCACCTCTGGTTTCAGACCTACTCGTTTGCACTGATGCAGCTGGCTTTCAGAACAGGATGAAAAATGGTTGAGAAACAGTGAGAAAGAGGACCTGAGTGGCTGGTCTCACTTAAGTTACCCCTCTCTCACTTGTGCAGTTGATCAAATAGAAAACACTGAGGATTGCTGGGAACTGAAGTTGTGTGTCATCAACAATAAATTAAAAAAAAATTACCTGTGGGAGAAACGTGATTATCTGTCGTGACCTGTACATTTGTAACTTTGCACAAAATGCAAGTTTTATTTTTAATCTAAAATAATACACTCTTATATAATAACACTTTAAATGTCTCGACGTTACAATAATATGGATAACTAATTGCACTTTATATTCTGACCACTCTCTACCCTTCTGTACACAGTGCTTCCTTTATTATAGATCTATTTTATATATTGGCGTGTAGAAAATCTCGCAAAGTAAGAATATCATTGCTCAGCGTGACCACTTTGTTCTGGACAAATACATTTCTTGATTAGAAATTAAATCTGTTCGTTATCATGATTACAGCAAAACTAGCCTTACAAGCTTTCAAAGCTGTAAAGATCCTATAATTTTAAATTGCCCGCAAATGATCACCCCAACCTCTTCCTGTTAGGTGCGTGTGACGTCACTGATGCTCGGTCCAGAACGGGTTGGGTCTCTGGTTTGGGAGTCTTCTGGGTGGCAGCAGGGTGGGAAAAAAGTGAAGTCATATACAGTTACCCAGGAAACCGTGCGAAATAAAGCAGCGCCTTACAATTAAAAGCATCAACGCGTTTACTAAGTACGAAACTTTTCAACTTAAGCCGTAATAAATATTAAAATCATCAAGTGGAAATAGAAGTTAATCTCAAGATGATCATTGTGCACTTTCACTGTATTCTACAGGCGCATGATAACAGCATACTTACTACGGTGCAAAATATGCATCCACGTTTTTTTAAAGCTGTTAGGGAATAGGGATTTTATTTTGAAGGTCTCGGCCAGAAGTCCTGTTATTCTAATGCAGTGTGGTGTGACAGTGGCGAGGGAGGTTGATCGCAGGGAAAGTGAGAGAACAGAGAGACAGAGGGAGATGGCTGAAAGGCTGGAGCAGTGGACCAGGTCAGGAGCGAGTCTGGACAGCGGTCTAAGGTGATCTTGATCATCCAGAGGTGTCTGCGCTGAGGAACGAGAGTCCAGACCGCGCAAATCCCCCGTCACGGCGCTCCAGTCCGGCCTGACCGAGGACTGTGTGGCAGACACCGTCTTCGGCTGCCCATCCTGGAAACATTTTCACTGTCTAAACATCCTAGCTGCAGGATTGCTCAGCTTCACCCGAGTCCTCTCTGGATCACGGACAAGGAACCGTGCTTGGATCCGTCACCGTGAGTGTCCGTGTAGTGGCTGATGCACTGCTGTCACGATTAAATGCTTTTAATGGCGATGCCTTGCATCATAAGGTCAACTGATCAGGTCCTGGTACTTACTGTCATACTTGTACGGTGACACGATTTGCAAAAACCCAGATTCGCATCCGTGACGGGTGCTGATGTAGATGAAGCCACGCCCTCAGACATGGCATTGTGTATGCCCCACGCTTGAATGAACCCTGGCCTATTTACTGCAGCACAATCAGCAGGAGCAGCTGTTAGCGTTCATTGTGGGACAGTTGTAATATCTGGGCCTGCAGGACATCCAATAAGCACCTCACGTTTATCCTCGTCAGCACGGGATTGCAGCTTTAATGTGTTGTTTTAATCCCAAATCTGCATGTGGTGCATGTGTGTGTTGTCAGTTCATATCTGAAGTCATCTTTCACCCACAGAGTATGTGGTGAGGTTTTTAAAAATAGATAAATTCCCATAAGATGCTGCTGTCACAGTGAGCAGTGTGAGTTCAGCTTTCAGACTGCTGCAATGGGAAAGACGTTCCAAGGTTGCACTGCAGCTACAGTGATGACAGAGACCCGTGCTTGCCCGTGTGTCCCTCCCTTTATACATACACTTTCTGCACCGACATGTCTCTCTTAAGAGAGGTAACCGGCTATTCATGCAACTGGCTCACACAAACACTCATGCATATTCACAGAGACTTTTAGTGAGGCTCTATTTTTGTTCAGAGCTGCAGCACCAGCTGTTTGATCTGGAGCTCAGGTGAATTTGTTTCATCTGGCTTGTGTGTGTTTTTACCCTGCCTCGACACGCTGATCCCTGCAGGATGCAAACTGAAATATACAAGGTCACCGTGAATGAGCACCGGTGTATTTATTTCAGACAGGGATCCCAGTACAGTGTGTGACTGCGAAAGAGGCTGTCTAAGGTGACTGTGAGGTCAGCTGGAATAGGCTGAAGCTAAAAGGTTTGTCCTTTTAATTTAAAGTTACTGGATCGATTAGGTAGAACACTCTTTCTTCTCTTCTTCGGTATAATGTCTTTATAAAGAGCTGCACAGGGGACCTCTTATGCTCATTTCCAGCTCCATGTTTTATTTTTATTCATTTGGAGTCTGCTGGAGTAGATCTGCATGATTTACAGCTCTTACAAGGCCTTTGCACCATTTTTCTTCCTGTTGGCTATCCCTCACAAACAGAAGGTTTAAAAGCAGGTGGGTGGAGCTTATGTGATTCAAGCCAGAGCTGGATGCCTGTGATGATTGTCCCAGAGATGTCCACTCTCACTGACACCAACTGGAGATGTTAGGAAAAGTGTTAGAAATGGAGAGTTTAGAGAGGTCTGAAGCCCACTCTTTTGACCCACAGACATTATTTGCACATATCCTGAACTCATGATTTGAAACTTTGGCCATGTTTCATATGGGCATCCACTACTGTACTGTATATATGACAGGAAATAGAGAAAAGCATAAATGTTCCCCTCCAACCACCGTCTGTTTTTATTTAAGTCTTGCAACTTATGAAACCTGGTGTCTGCAGTGGGTAGGCTGTGGTTTTATGCAGCTTGTTGGCAGGAAGCACTTTGCAGAGTCAGCAGCAGCACTTGTGGTAAAGAGTCTGTAGGGAAAGAGAGACACACTGATTGAAGTGGACTTTGGATCACAGCAGCAGAAAAAGTAAAGGTCTCTCCTTCTCCTCTCTTCTGTCCCCTGCAGGTGTCTGTGTCTGCTGTCTATCGTCTGTCCCGTGTCACCGTTACAACAGTGGAGCTCCGGCTCCATGGCCTCCGTCTCTCTCCGCTAGCGAGAGGTGAGCCAAGCTGGCCTCCCCAGCCCCCTCCTTGTCCCAGGACCCAGAGTCAGAGCCTGAGCCCGACCGGCGGCACAACCACGAGGAGCAGTATGTGAGCGAGGGCGAATACAACCAGCCCGAGACACGTCCGGAGCCTCCCGACTGCAGGGACGCCGAAACCATCACAGGTGCAGAAGAATTCAGATCATCCAAAAGTCCAAAGATAGCAACAAAATTTTGAGTATGCAGCTCACCGTCTGGTGACAGGTGAATTACTAACTTTTAATAGTTTAAAAGACTTTTTTTTAAAAAAAAACATATTTGAGTTCAACATTTCAAATAAACTTTCACAATTACAGATTCCATGCATCAAGTACAGTTTTTAAATTTATGTTTGACTTATTTAACTAAGAGTAATAATATCTTACTTTTGTTCCTTAAAATTATTAGAGATTCTTCCAAATAGTGGCAAATATTTTCGCACCATGAACCCCACTAAAATAGACAGAGGTCAAATTTGCCAGGTACTCAACTGTGAAGCGAAGTGAAAAATCTAATCCAGTGGTTTAGTATTCGTAAATCGTGAATAGTATTTGGTCAATAACAAAAATACAACTCAATACTTTGTAACATAACCTTTGTTGGCAATAACAGAGGTCAAACGTTTACTATAGGTCTTTACCAGGTTTGCACACACAGTAGCTGGTATTTTGGCCCATTCCTCCATGCAGATCTTCTCGAGAGCAGTGATGTTTTGGGGCTGTCGCCGAGCAACACGGACTTTCAACTCCCGCCACAGATTTTCTATGGGGTTGAGGTCTGGAGACTGGCTAGGCCACTCCAGGACTTTCAAATGCTTCTTACGGAGCCACTCCTTTGTTGCCCGGGCGGTGTGTTTTGGATCATTGTCATGTTGGAAGACCCAGCCTCGTTTCATCTTCAAAGTTCTCACTGATGGAAGGAGGTTTTGGCTCAAAATCTCACGATACATGGCCCCATTCATTCTGTCCTTAACACGGATCAGTCGTCCTGTCCCCTTGGCAGAAAAACAGCCCCATAGCATGATGTTTCCACCCCCATGCTTCACAGTAGGTATGGTGTTCTTGGGATGCAACTCAGTATTCTTCTTCCTCCAAACACGACGAGTTGAGTTTATACCAAAAAGTTCTACTTTGGTTTCATCTGACCACATGACATTCTCCCAATCCTCTGCTGTATCATCCATGTGCTCTCTGGCAAACTTCAGACGGGCCTGGACATGCACTGGCTTCAGCAGCGGAACACGTCTGGCACTGCGGGATTTGATTCCCTGCCGTTGTAGTGTGTTACTGATGGTGACCTTTGTTACTTTGGTCCCAGCTCTCTGCAGGTCATTCACCAGGTCCCCCCGTGTGGTTCTGGGATCTTTGCTCACCGTTCTCATGATCATTTTGACCCCACGGGATGAGATCTTGCGTGGAGCCCCAGATCGAGGGAGATTATCAGTGGTCTTGTATGTCTTCCATTTTCTGATGATTGCTCCCACAGTTGATTTTTTCACACCAAGCTGCTTGCCTATTGTAGATTCACTCTTCCCAGTCTGGTGCAGGTCTACAATACTTTTCCTGGTGTCCTTCGAAAGCTCTTTGGTCTTGGCCATGGCGGAGTTTGGAGTCTGACTGTTTGAGGCTGTGGACAGGTGTCTTTTATACAGATGATGAGTTCAAACAGGTGCCATTCATACAGGTAACGAGTGGGGGACAGAAAAGCTTCTTACAGAAGACGTTACAGGTCTGTGAGAGCCAGAGATTTTCCTTGTTTGAGGTGACCAAATACTTATTTTCCACCCTGATTTACGAATAAATTCTTTACAAATCCTACCATGTGGATTCATGGATTTTTTTTTCACATTCTGTCTCTCACAGTTGAAGTGTACCTCTGGTGCAAATTACTGACCTCTGTCATCATTTTAAGTGGGGGAACTTGCACAATCGGTGGCTGACTAAATACTTTTTTGCCCCACTGTAGGACGTGTTATGTTAAATTCCAGCTCCATAGTTTCATTCATGGACTCTACTAGAGTAGCTTTGCATGATTGATAGATCAAGACAATCCTGTGCTATTGGTGTAGCCCCTCAGCTTCCTTTAAGCCGGCTTTCACCTGATTGGCTGCTCCGCGTAAACATTAGCTTTGAACCCACAGATGTCCAGGGGCCAGAGCCGTGTGCTGTCTGATGTCTTTATTTGAAACATTGGCTGTGTTTAAAACAGGTCCTCTTACCAAAAAAACAGAGTTTTGTGAAGAGTTATCTAATTTTATTTTAGCAGAATATTTTTTGTCTCTGATTAAACGTAAACCTGCCTTTCAAATGTTTGATCAGGTTTAATGTCGGCCATCACAAACCTGACTCGCTGTGGTCACGCAGGGAATGAGAAAAAACCCACCCGTCTCATCCACCCTCATCCCCTCTCTCTCTCTCTCCCTCTAATGTTCAGATGTCTGTAACAGCACTGACCTGCCGGAGTTTGAGATCATCAGTCTTCTGGAGGAGCAGCTGCCGGTGTACCGCTTGCGGGCTGACACCGTCTACGGCTACGACCATGACGACTGGCTCCACACGCCCCTCGTCGCTCCTGAGGCCAGGCTCGACCTGACCACCGAGCAGATCGAAGAGACACTAAAATACTTCTGTAAGTCTGCGCGATCGCACCAGTACTTTAAATGTTTCACACCGAGACAGACTGAAAGCAAGAAGGAAAAGCTGCCGAAGGCAATGATAACAGAACTCTCTACTTAAAGGTTTCAGGTTATAACTGCAGGATTAAAACTGAAACGTCGTTTATCAATATTAAAATTGCAGAAGTGTTTCAGTTGAAAAGCTTTAGAATACAAATAATTTTAATGACAGCAAAAAGTACAAATTGTAGTCGACATGCACTCAAATGGGGTAGATGTTATAAAGAGGTACTCGGGTGTTCTACTTGCCTTTATGGGTCTTTCCCTTAAAATCCTCTGAGAACCCCTCCTACATAGATGAACAAGACAGGTTTCGAATAGCTCTTTGATGTCTTTTGTGAATCTGTTTGACTTAATGCTCAAAGTTAAGCCATAAAAACATTTGGATACCAAGCCCTTTATTTCTGTTTGGCCCTGAAACATGAATGCATCTTCGTTTATTCTGGATAATTGCTGCGCTCCTCCTATATCATATCAGCACTCTGCTCAATTCGCTGCTTTATGAGTAGGCAGAAGAGGTTTATGGAGTAAGGACAGCGCTGTCTGCAGAGGCTTTCTCACATTAAAGATTAATGTGCAATATTAAACAATATTAACTCTTGCTGTCGTCGCATTACATTGTTCTTTGAATCTTTGATGGCATCTGTTTATAAAGTATAACCCGAGCGACCAAGCGTCCGCCATAAAATCTGTGCAAAATCAAACATGCGGATCATCAAGATGCAGATGAAGGAGGACGTGCAGCTGGTGGGCGTGACACAACACGATGTGATTGACATTTTGAAGATCAGATACATTTGAGTAGAGTGATCTTCAATAAGATGTTAATGTTAGATTTGGGTTGTTTGTTTTCTATTCTAATCTAGTCTCGTCTGTCTTTGTCCTGTATGGATAAAGCTGGTATTTCAGCTTCTGTCCACATGGTTGTCTCTAATAACCCAGTATGAAAAAGTGGACAAAACGAAAATACGGCGTGTAAAATGTGAATAAAGGCAGAATGCACTGATCTGCAAATCAATGATAAATTTAAGTTAAGTTTAAACATTTCATTTTTTCTGCTATCTGTGTTCTCTTGTGGATAAAATATGGGTTTATGAGATTTGGAAATCGCTGCATTATCTTTTTATTCATATTTTTACTTACTTAATACTTTGGGAATTGGGGTTGTATAGTTGGTAAAATCTCTCCTATGGCTTTTGCAAATGACTTTTTCCTTGACCCACATGGAAAACTTGCACGATGGAAAGATGTGAAGAAGAATTTAGGTCGTCTAATGAAAAGAGGGAGAATCTGACATCTTAGCATACAGCTAAGTTGTTTAATTGCTGAGGAAGTTTGATTACGGGTTGCCAGTCTATTGTGTTAGCAGCGGTGCTAAAGAATGAGTCAGAAGACAGAGGAAGTGAGGTAATGAAAGAAAGGTGAAAATGAGAGAAGTGGGAGTCACTTCTATTGACTCTGTCCTGGATAATGCATCCTCGCCTGTCCAATCATAACACAACTTCCACTTCACCTCCGCAGCTGTGGAACCGAAACGGATGCACACACGCTCTCTCTCATCTCTCCGCCTACCTTGTACTCGCTCCACCAACACAGGGACGTCCGTGTGGGTGGAGGGTAATATAGTCTGTGAGCCTGTGATACAGTAGCTGAGCAGTGGAATGAGAGAGACAGAAAGCAAATGGATCAGTGTTTTGGACCAGCGGTCGATTGTCATCAAGGCAAGTGGAGGATACGGACAGCAAGAGCAAAGATTAGAAAGGGATGAGTGTGGGCCGGAGGACTGCTCAATGTTAAGATGTGATCAAATGATTGGGATATTAGTTTCTTTTCAGCACTCTGATTTTTGTTGAATGTCGTTGTTCCTCTTTGCTTCCTGACTGCGGTGGATTACAGGCTGCAGTCTCATCATTTCAGAGCTCCAGTAATGCAGACAAGCTATATTATTTCTTGCTGATAGTTTTGCTCCGGTGTTTGTTTCTTAGTTAGTTCGCCTCACTAAGATGACGCATGTCTCCTGTCTAATTTCCACGGCTATCTGTTGTACCCCTGTAAACCAGCGCTGATCACTATTTCAGTGCCATCACCTAAATTTGCTTTCAGAAATGGGAAGTTTTTGTGTTGTTTAGAGTACCAACAGGATTACAGAGGCTTACCATAATGGATTCGATAACTTTGTGCAGCACGTTATCGATTCGAGCTCTGAAGTCAATAATTGCTGCCAACCCCGCGGCAGCAGAGCCACACGCTGTGCGCCATGGAACACGACCCTTTCCCCTTTAACGCCTGCTCGTGCATTTCCAAACAGTGGTGATGGAAGTGTTGCACGCTATACGTGGTACATCCACTTCCTCTGAGTGTATAAATACTCTTTGTGTTACATAATGGGGCCGTTTTTGCATGCACTCACACATGTTTGCAGATCACAACTCAAGTGATGGGATGACCAGAAGGTCATTCAGCGTTTTGATGTTCGGTTGGGTTTTCTTTTTTTGGTTTTTCCACAGTGCTATGTGCAGACAGAGTGGGCCAGATGACGAAAACCTACAATGACATTGATGCTGTCACACGTTTGTTGGAAGAGGTGAGGTATTTTAATTTTGCCAGTTCTATGAGGGTAAATTGAAGCTTTTCTTTTTTTAATCAGACCAAATGATAATGAGATGTTCCTCTCCTCTGTTTGCTTCTCCTACATTGCAACCAATAGAAAGAGAGAGATCTGGAGCTTGCTGCAAAGATTGGCCAGTCGCTCCTTAAGAAGAACCGGACTCTCACAGAGCAGAAGGAGTATTTGGAGGAACAAGTGGGACAAATCACAGAGGAGGTATGCCTCACAGAAATTTAGACCAGGAAAAAATGTTTTGGTGCTACAGGTGTTGAACAGTACCTGTCCTCCTGCAGGTTGCCCAGCTGCACCATGAGCTGAACCTCAAGGATGAGCTGCTGCAGTTTTACACCAATGCAGCTGAAGAGATCGAGGATGAATCCAGCAGCTCCCCAACGTTAGTTTCCTTTCTTAATGTCACTCCTAAAATGTGTGAATACTGTTACCATTTCACAGGTGTAAAAATACAACCTCACTTGTACTGGCTGTAAATTCCATGATAAAATTTGTGTTTGTCTCCTGAAGGGGTAAAAAAAGCAAAGTGGAAACTGCTTCAGGAGGCTTTGTGAGCGACACGCTCCAAAAGAAACTCAAAGAGCTGGAAGAGGAGAACCTGTCACTCCGCTCAGAGGTATCACACGCAGTATTGAGGAAAACACGACGAGGTGAGTTACTGAAACGGCTCAGAGTATTTTGTGTAATTGTGGACGTCTACTCGCAGGCTAACCATCTAAAGTCAGAGACCGAAACTTATGAAGAAAAGGAGCAGCAGCTTGTGAACGACTGTGTCAAAGAGCTCAGTGAGTTTTGTCTTGCCACCAATTTCTTTTTTGGAGCTTCTGTGTGTGAAATTGCCTGTTTTTCTTTACACAACTCCCTCCGAGAGTTTGCATGCTGTGTAATATTTGAATAAAAACACAATGCAATCACTCTACAGTATATAATATGGCTGCAGCTTCCAGGGCAGAATATTGAAGCCAGAGTGGAAGTGCCTTAAATCTGGATTCTACTGGATGGCAAAAGCTGTGGTAGACTTCCAGTCCGATACGTAACTGTCCCAAAAGTCTATGAGAAAATGGCTTTATGACTTGACCTCTTTAAACACTTTCCTGCTGAGTTTGACTTGGTTCGGATCATGCTGGATAAAAAGTTAAGTCTGTGAAGGGTTATCTTTGGTAACAAACTCCAAGTTCAATAGCTGATCATTTTCACATTTTGTCACATCTTGTCAAGTAGTAGTTCGAGTTTGTTGTTTCATAGTGAGACTCTTTCTTCTTCATCACATCTGCGGCTTTGCAATAAAGTAACAGCGAAAATGCATCGTCAAAGCAGTACTTCAGAAATCATTGAGTGATGTCATGGTAGCTACATCCACCTTTTATATTGTCTATGGCAATGACGCAACTCATTTAGAATCACATCTTGTTACAACTTTATCTAATTTTTAATTGGATTTAATCAGCATTTTTGAAGAGCAGACAACAGACTGAAAAATATATAGTGAAAAAATGTTTTTTTTGTGGAAGGGTGGAGTGCCCACTCCGGGTCAGGGACAAGTTCCTGCCCCAAGTGGAGGAGTTTAAGTATCTCGGGGTCTTGTTCACGAGTGAAGGGAGCGGGAGATCGACAGACGGATTGGTGCGGCGGCCGCAGTGATGCGGACGCTGTACGGGTCTGTTGTGGTGAAGAGAGAGCTGAGTGTAAAAGCGAAACACTCAATTTACCGGTCGATCTACGTACCTATGGTCACGAGCTGTTGGTAGTGACCGAAAGAACGAGATCGTGAATACAAGCGGTGGAAATGAGCTTCCTCCAAAGGGTGGCTGGCCTCTCCCTTAGAGGTAGGGTGAGAAGTTCGGCCATTCGGGAGGGGCTCAGAGTAGAGCCGCTGCTCCTCCACATCGAAAGGAGCCAGCTGAGGTGATTCGGGCATCTGACAAGGATTCCTCCTGGGTGAGATTTTCCGGGAGGCCCCGGGACAGACCTGGGACATGCTGGAGAGATTATATCTCTCGGCTGGCCTGGGAACGCCTTGGTGCTCCCCCAGACAAGCTGGAGGAGGTGGCTGGGTAGAGGGAGGTCTGGGCTTCTCTGCTTGGGCTGCTGCCCCCGCGACCCGGCCCCGGATAAGCGGAAGAAAATGGATGGATGCCGCTCCCTGAGCCTGGCTGGAGTTTTTTCCTGTTAAAAGGGAGTTTTTCATTTCCACGGTCAGAGTGGTCGCTCACAGATGTATGACAGTTTGTTTATAACAAAAAAAATCCCCTCCATAACTCGAAATTTGGAGAAAATAACTTCAAATTTCAAGTAATGGATGGCAGTTTTATTTTTTCAGTGGTGGAATCAAGTCAAAATGACTATTTTTTTTAAACCTTAAAAATTATTATTTTTAAAGATTTTATTTCAGTGTTTCATTGCACTTTAAATATAAATTTGAAGTGTTCTGATTTCATTTATATTTTATGTGCATTTTTCTCTGTGCTCTTTTTGAACTCCCTGTCAAACTTTAAGGGTTGTCCAGTCTTCAGATTTCTGCCATAGCGGAGGAACTGGCCCGTAAGACTGAAGACGCATCACGACAGCAAGAAGAGATCACACACCTCCTCTCTCAGATAGTAGATCTGCAAAAGAAAGCCAAATCTGTGAGTATATAAGCACACAGGTATATACTTTGACTGGTTATATTTTTACTGGTCTTGTCCTGTTTAGCTGTTTGCTCAGTCAAAGCTGCATTTGTGTGTCTAGTATGCAGTGGAGAATGAGGAGCTCTCTCAACACCTGCTGGCAGCTAAAGATGCCCAAAGGCAGCTCACAGCAGAGGTAACTTCTCTTTGCTTTCCAAGCTTGTCCCCAATCACAGTTTGTTCCCTAAATACTGTGAATGTGAGTTTAATTGCTGTGTTTACAATACAACAGCTCCAGGAGTTAGAAGAGAAGTACTCAGAGTGCATTGAGATGTTGCATGAAGCTCAGGAGGAGCTGAAGAACCTGAGAAACAGAAACTACCCTGCAGGAACCCCACGCCGCTATCACCCGCTGGGACTGTACCCGATGGTGAGTTACTGTAAAAGTGTGTGTGCCTCTCTTTGCTTGTAGGCATCGTCTTCCGCTCTTAAAAGTTTATATGTTGCAGGACTCTCTGGCAGCTGAGATTGAGGGAACGATGAGGAAGGAGCTGAGTCTTGATGACCCAGAGTGTGAAGAACAGAAGTAGGTATTCATGCATGCATACTAGCTGCCAATTCCCAAACATGGGAACAGGTTTGGGAATTGTTTGATCAAAAGAGTTGGCAATAAGTAATGGACAGACAGTAGAAATAGCCAAAATAAATATACTACGATGAAAAGTAAATGCATAAGTAATTGTCAAAAAAAGTGATAAACTAGCCAGCATAGCTCACTAAAAGTCTTTTCAAAACTTTTTCTAAAAGTATACATAAGCAGTAGCGGTTTTTGATACAGGCGACACCGGCGGTTGCCCGGGACGGCATCATGGTGGGGGGCGTACTCACGCTGCCCCGACATCAGCCAGCGCATATCGGGAGTGGCATAGGCACCGATCGGTTTTCTATCGCCCGTTTGCTGGGAGTAAGGGCGCCCTCTGCTTGCGGCGCAGAGAGGAGAGGGCGGGGCGGCGGGGGATTCTCTGGCTGGCTGGAGCAGCATCTAATAACCAACTCGCAAAATAAAACAAAATAAAAACAAAACAACAAACACGAAAACACCAGACATTATGATACAGACTTATAATTTGCACCGATGTTTTTTCGAAATTCTATAAAGTGAGCGCGAGAGCCCTCTGTGCGCCTGCTCGCTGCTGAAGTCAAAGTAAACTTTATTGTCATCTCCGCTACATACAGTCCAGTATATAGAGAGACGAGACGACGAGGCTCCAGTTACAGCAGTGCAAGTAAACAAACAATATCTATAAGAAGAGTAAGAAAATAAATATACACTCTAGGACCCGGGGATCAATAACAATTTAAAATTTATAATTTACAGTTTGATGATTTAAAGTCTCACACACAACCCGTCGAAAGGGGAGGGGGGGGCTGCTTCCAAATAGAGCACATTTCATTCATAATATTGTAAATTATGAAGCCCCTTATCTATTCATGATTTGAATCCTGGGTTGTGCGAAATCCAGAGGGAGTGTTCGCCTGGGGCGCCAAACAGGCTAGCACCGCCACTGTACATAAGCATAGTATCTAGTCAAAGTTATGAATACAGTGTATATGAGAGGAATGTAACCTGTGACCTCACCTACTGAGTTTGGACTTTTGGAAATGTTTAGCTTTAGCATTAGCATTGTAGCCACTATCATGTTCTTTTTTAGAAGCCTGAAGTTACGATGTCTGGATGAACAGGTGGCGTATTAAATTATCAGCTAATGCTAGCAGACTTTTATTTAGCAAGCTGTATAGCTAAAATACACAGACACTGTTAATTTGTGCTAAATACCAGATCTGATACAAGAGGAGAGGATTAGCTAAACTGCTAAATATCATTCTAGCTAAAATTGCTAGCTATAATAGTTAAATTGTTAAAAAAAATAGTAACAAAACCTAATGAATACACTTATAATAAAGTAGTAGCTTAAAATAGGAAAAGACTGGTTAAAATGTAAAGTGTAATGAAATGAAGTGTAACTGATGAATGGTAATCATACAGAAATTGCTTATTAAATCGCTAATAATGGACACTACTGTCTACTACGCTGTCATGAAGTTCTGTGAAAAACTAAGCACACCATGTTAAAAGGGTAGTTGCAGCCAGGTGCTTATAATCAAATGCACTTGATTAACTGATCATCAGCAAGTGTGGGTACCTCTCTTTTGGCAGTTTCCTGGTCTGTAGCATTCAGGTATGTGTTAACATAGTACTACAGTCTTCCTAGTTGTGGGCGTCCAAAAAAAATCACCCAAAGTTCAAACCATGCAATGCTTAAGAAATTGCACAAAAATCGAAAGCTACTTCTTGGACTCCACTGCTTTCTGGAGACTTCTGGTCATAATTCACAGCCATGTGTCTGACAGCTAAATCTTAGCATTAGTGACAATGATCCCAAGCACAGCAACAACTGTGCAAAAGCATGACAAAGAAAAGAATCAAGGTTTTGTAATGATCCAGTCAATGTCCAGACCTCAACTCTACTGAGTTATGTTGCAAGACCTTAAGAGACCTGTGCACAAATGAATGCCTGGAAACCTCAATAAACTGAAGCAACATTGTAAAGAAGAGTGGACCAAAATTCCTCCACAACAATGTGAGAGATGGCTTAAGTCATAAAGAAAACAATCGCTTCAGGTTATTACTGATGGTTCTATAAGCTACATGGAGTATTAGTTTTTCACAGAACTCCATAGTGTCACAAGAAAACTTTCTTTTTCACACGGCCATGGTGGATGGTGTTCTTCACTCTGATTGTTAGTCGCTTTAAACGCTCGACTTAAAGTTGGGATTTGTTTAATGTTAAGAGTTCAAATAAATGTAACCTTGGTGAAGCGTTCTTGAGTCCATCTTTGGGAGTAACTTAGGTAAAAAGGTTTGTGAACCACTGTTGAAGAGCATCAATATGATACTATGTTTGACTGTGTGCAGGGTCCATCGGAAACGTGTATTTGAGACGGTCAAAAATGTTAACCAGACAGTTCGTCAGCGTTCTCTGACTCCAACCAACTCCAACATCCCGGGTTCTAACCAGTCCCTGTCAGCTCGAACGTCACCCCAATCGAGTGGTCTCTCCACACCCCACTCCAGCATATTTGGAGGTGACCTTAGTGGAGAAAGTGTAGCCCTTGATAACCGAACGCAGAGCATCCTAATGGAGACAGCATCCAATCAGGACAGGTAAGACCGAGATAAGCTGCTGTCATCTGCATGAATCAAACTCAGTTTTCTCAAGAATGATTTTATTTTAAAACATTTGATTGATTTTTGTTTTAACCCTGCTCTGTCAACAGCACAGAGGGCCAGGAGAAGAAGGCAAGTGGGGCAGAGGACTTGCGGCTTGCTCTGCGTCGCCTGTCTTTGCGCCGACAAAACAATTTAAGTGAAAGGCGCTTCTTTGAAGAGGAGCGAGAGCGACGGCGGGGAGGACACCCTGGACTCCACGATGCCCTCAGCCAGGAGAGTCTCTTAACCCCATCCGAAAGCATCATGTCCCTCGGAAACCTCCACCTCTGGGCCTCGCGAGGGCCCTACCTCCCCGACAAGCTTCAGATCGTCAAACCACTCGAAGGTGAGGTAGAAAGGGAGCGCGGAACGAACGGCAAGGCAGGGAGGAACCTGGAAGGAGAGAGGCACCGAGGGGCCGGGGCAAAAAAAGGGAGCAGGCAGGGCTGGGGAACAGAGGGGGAGAGGAGGCAAGATGGCAGTCAAGGGGAAAGGGAGAGAGTGTGGGGATGGACGAGGAAGACTGGAGCTGGAATAGAGAGGGAGAGGGGAAGGAGGTGGGCTAGAGACCGAGCCGGCAGCAAGAAGATGAGGAGTGCGCAAGAGTGGACAGAGAGGCCCCTGTCTCTGATGCTCTTCAACTCTTTCTGGTCTCTGATGCATCATCACAAGTCTGGCAGCTTTGCATCTCCACACAGCTATTACAAAGAAACCCAGCCCAGAGGGTGGCTTTGAGCACTCATGCACTACACGGAGGAAGTAAGACGGAGTCTATCCAAATCTCTGGCTGCTGCTCATGAACTGATCGGGGGCTAAAAGGGGAAACAGGCAGACCTTAGGTCTATACAGTGTGATAGAGTCACAGTAGTATTCAGTCAGCATGTACAATTAAGGAGCTGGTGTCTTAGATTTAACCTTAAAGAAGATTATGCTCATTTCCAGATCAGTGCCAAATATTTATTACTGGACTCTGTGCTAGATTAGTTTTATATGATTCACAGTTCAAACTAACCTTATTTATCTTTACTGAACCTTGGTACCGTTGTCAGAATCGGAGTGTTGTGGCTTCCTGCCTGTTCTTTTTAAGGCGCGTGTTTTCTGATTGGTTGTCGCTCGCAAACAGAAGGTTTAACTCTACTGACAAACAGTGTTGCCAACTTAGCGAGTTTGTCGCTATATTTAGTAAGTTTTCAGATCCCCTTAGCGACTTTTTTTCTAAAAAGCAACCCGTGCCAAAGCGCTCATAGGCGGCGGATCGTCCTCACGCAGAAGTCGCCCCCAGCTGCTGTCAAAACAGGACATGTTCACCCAGTGGCGGTCCTAGCCTGTTTGGCGCCCTGGGCGAATACTCCCTCTGGCCAGAGAAACACACACACACATATATGAAGAGAGAGAGAGTATGCATTGTATGTAAACGGCTACCAAACAGCCATCATAATTCGTCATACAATGAGAACAGGAAGAATCAACAATTGACGATGACTAATTAATATTAAAATCTGTAACATAATGAATTGTTTGGAGTTTAGTCTGTTACTGCTACTATTTCTTCTTGGAGCAACTGTAACGCACATAATTTCCTTAGGGATTAATAAAGTATTCTGA